TCGCATGTAAGGAATTATTTCTCAGCCCAGAGACATAGCCCAAAGACTTGACATTAACGTCCTTGTGATTTTATAGAAATAGATCCAGAACTAAGGATATTAGAAGAATTATCTGTACCTTCTCCAAGTTGTAGACAAGATATGTTGTTTACGTCCAACACGCATAAGATTACATAACTCAAAATGATTCGAGCTAAACCGGTCTTTTGTTAAAAGGAAGAATGGTTAATAGAAATTGGTCCTTTTGAGTGACATAATCGTGTATCGTCATCGATCGGTGATGTTGAACAATGAAAAAATTTGTTGTGAAATTAGTGAAGATAAAATAGCATTTTGTGAAAAAACTGCGGGTCTACGGAGTGGGAACTTTTCGGATTTGAACTCAGCGTGTTCGAAAGTGTTAGTTCCCGTAAAAATATTTCAGATCTAAGACATGCTTAATGAAAATCGTTTTCTAGGCACTTTTCGAGGTCACAACACACGGACTAATAATGCTTTTTTTATCATGCCGTTTTATATGCGCCCGCGATCAATCTGACCAGCAATGCTCTACTTCATGTAGTCCTAAATTATTCATCTAACATAAACATACACATTTGAACATGTACGGCAGCGTTTCAATAGGGCTACCTTAGGAAATGTTGGTTCTGTTCGTAGGAAACGCTGACACAAATCGTTGCAAGTGATTTACATCTTGCCATGGATTGACCACATTTCCCGCATTGCCAGAAGCTAAATGAGCTGAAGCACCCTCCGGATGCAAGACCTTAGCAAGTTGAATATAATGCAGAGCTGTATGACGGCGTGCCCAACCCACGTGCTGCATGATTTACGGCAAATCGGCACCAGTAAGTGCAAGAGTAATAGCACAACAGCTCTGAAACCATGCAACGTCTCTCCCTCATCAGACCCCATTTGCCCCAAGTTGAGTTTCAAGCGAGCTTCTGCGGCAGAAGACGTAAATGGAAAATCCTGAATTCCTCCTTTAGGCGTCGTCGGTCGAAAGAGATACCCGCGAGTGAGGTCGACCTTCATTTGACGAGCAACATCCATATACTGCTCAATACCGCGAATTGGTAAATCGTCGTGTGTGGATTGCGACGTACACCAAAGACATTCTGATCACCGTCACGCAGTGTCTTGCCCCAAATATGATTGAAAAGCATGCCATCATCATTGGGAAAACGTAGGATCTCCGGAAGTTTTACCTGGCCAAAGTCGCCAGGCCAATCACCACTAAAAAACGCCATTTTGAAATAGACCTGATCGCGAGCCACTAGAAAACGCTCGATTTGTGATTTAGAAGACTCCAACTTCCGCTGAAGATGCAAATACAATTGAGTTAACTTGTCGACAAAAAAATTGGGTAGCTTGCTGGGGCGTAATCCGTGCTTGTAACTGTTCGGCAGTCACTAGACGGAGATAATCTTTAACCGATCTATCCACGGCAGGATTACCTAAACCTAAACGTTTATCCCATTCACCATCTCCACCATTCGCCTGAAAAATTGAGCGTAGTTTACCAATATATGAGTCCACCGTCTGATATGAAAGCCGAATCGGACAACCACATGCCTGTTTTCCCTTTTGACCTAGGAACTGACAACCATGTTGGCGAACCTGAGTTTTACCATCTTTATCCTTATAAACCAAGAAACGACATATGTCGCCTGGCAAAACGGTAAGCAAAGAACGATGACCCCGAAGAGCCGATAAAAATACCTCAAGTTGTCTTTGTAAATAGTCTTTCTGCTTTGAGTAGCTCGTTGCTTTATCAAAATTGCCCAACTGTTGCAAACTGCGATCAATCGACACAAGATCGACAACAATATTTGGATTAAAGGACTGGTTATCAAGAAGTTTCCGATTTTAACCACAGCATTGGCAATAACGAAAATCGTGATCATTAGCATGCCCACACTGGGCATTTAACTGATGGAACGAATAACTTTGCTACAATGGTAAGTTCCTAAAAGAAACAAACTACTAAAGCAAACACTGACAATAAAACTGGATATATAGTTGTGATAGTCTCTCTGTTAATTTATCCCCGAGCCGAGGGTACTAATTCCCCCCCCCCCGGCTATTTACACCCGGAGAAAGGAAAGCATTAGCGAAGTCGAAAGTTCATCAATTATCGCGGGCGCGTGACTATGGTTCATGGGTGGACCTCCTCACTGATCTCAAAAATATGGCTGTTTGCTAGGAGTGGGATAAGCAAGATTTCAATTTTCAAAAGCATATATTTGGAAAATCACGTTTCACACAATGAGCTTTGAAGCAATTTTTGTTTGAAGAAATGAGAAGAATTGATTTACTATGGGAATCGTGAAATATAGTGCAAGTTTGCTTTGGATGTTTAATGAATAATGTTTATGAATTTTGTTGCTTTTAATAATTTCTTGCGTATTAAAAGTACATGCAGCTTTCCTTTTCAGTCAAGCTGTAAGTTCCTACCTTAAACACAGGGGGTCCAACTAAGAGCTGTGTTATGAGTATGAATAAAACATTAATAAATCGTAATATGAATAAAACATCATAACGTAATATATTTAAATTATTGCACTTACTTGTATAAATCATAAGAGCTTGTATTTCCAGTGAATAGCTTCAAACAGGGCGCTTATATATGTTCAGAAACATTGCTTCGAAAGATTGTTCAAATACCCTCGTCTTCCGCTCGCAATCCTTGCTGTTATTTTCGTTGGAACGTCGTATAACATTTTCGTTTTGTCAATTTATTCGCCATATTTGAACAATCGTTCGAAGCAATGTTTCTGAACATATGTAAGCGCCCTGTTTGAAGCTATTCACTGGAAATACAAGCTCTTATGATTTATACAAGTAAGTGCAATAATTTAAATATATTACGTTATGTTTTATTCATATTACTATTTATTGTTTTATTCGTACTCATAACACAGCTATTAGTTGGACCCCCTGTGCTTAAATTACTCTGTTTAATCCAAGAAAAAAAGGTAAAATGTAAAGAAGAACAAATTAATTTGAAGACCTAATTGAAATTACTCCACAACTTGAACTTATTAACGGCAAAGACGACAAAAGCAGTTTAGTTATTAAAATGAACATTTCAAAACATTTTACGAAGCGATTCAGTTTAAATTTTACATTAAATCAAAGCTCACAAAATGCAAAATAACATACCTACTGTACATAATTCGGAAATTGATTGTTATATAATTAAAATTTAAAAGCAATAATCTTTCAACTATTTTTGGCGACTTGTTCAAAAAAAATATAAAATTTAAGATTGTCGTGTTGCCATGACAACACTGACGTAAACGCCAGCCTCAGTCACAGATGTGTAAATTTGGAGATACATATATCTTTTACTTGTCCACGCCACTGGATTTGCCACCCCGAATATATTTTTCTCTAACCCGTTCACTCGCCAAGTAAAGCAATTTTGATTGACTGACTAAGTAAATATAATCAGTTGTAATTTGATATCTTCGGGAGTCGTTGCCGAAAGTTCTATCATTTTAACCTTTCGGCAACCATTGCCGAAGGTATCAAGTTACAATTGCGCACCCGTTGTGTTGCCGCCGCAAGAAAAAAACGTTGGCTTAAAACTTTAATGACAAAGAACAAAGGGAAAAGAGAAGATCGAATAAAATAGACTTACCACGTCGCAGGACATACGTCTTCAGGCATGCTTGTGTCAATGTAAATATTTGCTGTCGATGTGGCAAGACCAAGTAACATAAAGGACATCAGAACTTGTAGCGAAAACATCTTTAATCTCTTTTAGTATCAATGTTAAACTGAGGGGCTGGGCGGGCAGTGGTGTCGCTGGGCGGGCAGTGGTGTCGCTGGGCGGGCAGTGGTGTCGCTTGGGTGGAATGGTGGTGTAGGAAAACGAGCGCCGAAGGCGCGAGACAATTTCGAGGGTTTCAAAAAATTTTGAAATATTAATTAAGTCCACAACATTCTATTTCTTGTATTTTGGGGTTAAAATTTCTCACAATTCGGAACTATGCAAAACGAATATTTCACGACTTCTAAATAACTGCTTTCCATATTATAATTAAGAGATAAATATGTCTGAAAATGGCAAGATTTTTCACGGAAGAGATTATTTCGTTGGCCTCAGATCACAAAGCAACGGTTTTACTAACACTAACCCTACTCCAAACACCCACTCTAACCTTAATCCGCACCCTAACCTAACCCTACTCCAAATTTGTTTCTAAACCAATCTTGAAGAGAAAAGGTTTGACGAAAGGTTCGTCGTTGTCGTCGTCGTCGTCGTTGCCGTTGTCGTTGTTTGTCGTTTGTCGTTTGTCGTTTGTCGTTTGTCGTTTGTCGTTTGTCGTTGTCGTTGTCGTTGTCGTTGTCGTTGTCGTTGTCGTTGTCGTTGTTTGTTGCTGTTGTTTGTTGTTGTTGTTGTTGTTGTTGTTGTTGTTGTTGTTGTTGTTGTTGTTGTTGTTGTTGTTGTTGTTGTTGTTGTTGTTGTTGTTGTTGTTGTTGTTGTTGTTGTTGTTGTTGTTGTTGTTGTTGTTGTTGTTGTTGTTGTTGCTGCTGTTGCTGTTGCTGTTGCTGTTGTTGCTGTTGCTGTTGCTGTTGCTGTTGCTGTTGTTGTTGTTGTTTTCTCACTGTTACCAGGTATAACTGCAAGTTGACGAGCATCTGCTGCACGCTAGTGCTTAGTGAACTTTTAAAAATTTTCTCTCTGCAGGGATGCGATGGTTTATACCAAGTCTGGACCAAACAGAATTGGTCGTGTATATAACAAAGTGTTTTATCGTGAATACACTGATGAGACTTTCACAAAGACAAAAACACACCCGGAGTACCTTGGAATTCTGGGACCGATACTGAGAGCTGAAGTTGGCGAGACGATAAAAGTTGTTTTCAAAAACTTGGCAAGTCGTAACTATTCCGTTCATCCCCATGGCGTGTTTTATGAGTAAGTACAGATTTTCTCCGTGGGGACTCTAGTTTCCTCTTGCTGTGACAGACAACCAATAAAGGGTGGCCTTTATACTGGACTAATTCCCCAATAAACGATAGCCTTCACTACACCTCTAGTGAGAATAGTTAGGATGTGACAAAGCTTTCTATTATAAAAAATAGTTCTGTTTAAAAGGTTAGCCAACTGTTTTACTCCAATCACGGTCGACAAACCTTCCTACTTCTAACTATAAAAAATGTTGGAATATTTATTTTTGTCTCATTAGCAAGAAAAACGAAGGAGCTCTCTATCTGGACAACACAACATTCAAAGATGACGACGCTGTTCCTCCAGAGCAGACTTATACGTACACTTGGGAAGTTCCTGCCAGAGCTGGACCAAGCTCGAGTGATAATGATTGTTTGACGTGGATATATTACAGTGATGTCAACCCAACGATGGATACAAATTCTGGACTCGTAGGACCTTTGATCATTTGTAAAATGGTGAGAATTTAGTAGCCAGCAAATAGCGGTGGAGCAAATACATCTATCAGTTCCTAACTGTTCTGCCTAGAGCTCCAGAGGCATCCCTTATTGCTCCAGTGTTACTACAGGAAGAAGAAACCTAAACTAAACTAACTTTATTTATGCTGGATAGTTGTGTCAGTTCTAAACTGTTCTTCCTAGAGGTCCAGTGAGGATCATCACTTATTGATCGAGTGTTACTACAGGAGGAAACCTAAACTAAACTAACTGTATTGATACTAGATAGCTCTATCAGTTCTAAAGAATCAAACTGGAAACATTTTTTTCACATGCGTCTGAGGTGAAACTACAATTGGAAAAGTGCATATATCATGAATGAAACACCAGTCACAGAGATAAAAGTCGTGCATGAGCTAACTACTGTGGCACCAAAAATCTATAATTTGACTCCAATTTCTAAATTTCAGGATACACTATCTGCAGATGGATCTAAAGTGAAAAACGTTGATCATGAATACCCAATCTACTTCAGTGTTATGGATGAAAACCTGAGTTGGTATTTGGATAAAAATATCAAAGAATTTACATCAAATCCTGGCAGTGTTGATAAAGAGGACGAAGACTTTATTGAAAGCAACAAAATGAACATAATTAACGGTCGAATTTATGGCAACCTGAAAGGGTTAAGCATGGTACAAGGGCAGACAATCAATTGGTATCTTCTCAGTCTGGGTACAGAGGTTGATATGCATAATGTTCACTTTCATGGCCAGACAGTTTTAGCGGTAAGTCGAACATGGTTGGTACTACTACATTTGTCAGCAATATGGTCGGTTTCATGAAGCAATATCGTGCTGCAGATAGTCAGATGGTTGGCAACTTCCAGTTGTCTGAGTGAGAAAATAAAAATTATTTTTATGATATGTGATAATCTCGTATTTGGTGACAAGTGAAGTACAACTGAGAGCTGTACTTTAATTAAGGCTACTGTTTGCATAAACAGCGAGACATGAAATCATATTTTCATTTCTGCAGAGAACAACAGCAGACCACAGAGAAGACGTGATTGATTTATTTCCGGGGGTGTTCATGACGGTCAAGATGACACCGGATAGTGTTGGACGATGGTTATTACATTGTCACGTGAATGATCACATGGTACATGGAATGGAGGCTCTCTATGATGTTGCAGGTTGTGTAGAAATTCTGCCTGACTTTCACCTTCTTCTGGATATTTCCAATGAACTAACTTTATCTAGACTGGATAGCTCTTTAAACGGTTTTAGTTAGGACATTCCCTTATTAATCAAGAGCTACTACAGCAGGAAACTAACTAAGCTAAAACTATTTATAATGGATAGCTCTGAGCTTGTCTTCTTGTAGGTCTTGTTAGAGTCAAGCCTTGTTGGTCCAGTGCAATGCCAATGGTCCGCTGCAATGGTCCAGTGTTACTACAAGTAGAAGGCTGAGTTCCCCGAAAAAACTTGTGGTGTTTCGTAGAGTGGAAGCTCTTTCTTCGCGACTGTGAATGAAATTACACACAATTGCATATTGCAGGAATCGAAACCAACCACAGAGATGAAAGCCACATGCACGAACCACCTTTATATCAAGCTCCCTTCTTTAATTAGATTTTCTTTTTATAGAAACCGCACCAATCACACCAATGGCAAGTACAGAGAAACCGTCATCATCATCAAGTCTTCTTGTTGTGAATACATTCATTTTCCTTGCTGCCTATTTCTTTTTTATATGTTCTGCTTTCTTTTGAACCATTTGATATAAAACATAGGATATCTAAACGTCGTTAACATTGGTACATTTTATATGCTGTAGTTAGCGAGGTAGTTAGCTACGTTTTTATCGTAAATGTTTGGTAGTGAGTATCGTGTTCAAAATATGAATATAAATAGTAATTTTGTATTGATAATCAAGGTTCAATATAAATGGATGTATAGTGTTATGGAGCTTTTGAACTGAAAACAAATTTGTGTTAAATAAATGTAATTGTTATTTGAAATCGTTTCAAATCAAATTTTTGTCTGTGTGTATGTGTGTGTGTGAGCACTTCCATGAACTACGCCTCAGATGAACGTTGAAATGTAAACATCGATCAAATGAAAAAAATAATTTTCCGTGTGGTGCACTGTTCACTGGTAGCTACAATCGACGGTATGTCAAGTATAAAACCATTCATAAAACTAACATGAAGTTCTGATCAGAAGTAAAAAATTCTCAAAATGGCGGATGATTTAAATGCGAAGAAGCGAAAAAAGGAAGAAAACTTGGAGGTATTTTCTAATTTCTTTGAATTAATCCAGTGTTTTCAATATATAAGAATAGCTCGATTGAGCGTTTGTATAAATTACACGTTATATGTACTTTGTTTTTCGTAGAAAAATCCAAAAAGGCGAAAAACTGTCTCTAGGAAGAAACCTGGTTTTGATAAAGATATATTTAAAGAGACAGAATATTACGTAAAGGATGGTTAGCATTTCTCTACAGTTTTTAAACTGGCATATTAAAGCTGTCTTGTGTCTCTTTGAAAGTGGTGTATCCTAATATTAGTAGAGAAATGTCTGTTAATGGGAAAACGGAGTTTATCTGTTAGTTAAACCACATTGCTTATTATTTATAGTCTAAAATCAATCTTAATATAGGTTTACGCTATGTCAAACCATATCCATTCACATTCACAACTTACTGCAAAGGTCGGTGGCTTCGAAGAAAACTTATTGATGTTCTATCACAGGAATTTCAATCTGAAACAACTGAATATTATGTAAGGTTGGAAAGATACTATTATAGCACTATAGTTTATTTTTGACATAATGGCGTCCACTCAGCGCTGTATTCAACCAAGTTTGCAGGCACATAGTTCTCATGTTTACTATGCAGCAGTTTCCTAGCATATTTGCCTGCATTCCCATGGTTTCTAAAGTTTGTTTTTTTTTGGGGGGGGGGGCCGGGAGGGGCGGGCAGTTACCAACCCCTTGTCTTGTATGCCTATGATTACAGAGAATGTTAAAATGGTTTGTTAGTATATTTTAGAAGTAGTTTCAAGACCTCAACAGCTGTATTTAAATAGATATTGTTATAAAAGAACTGAAATGTGTTGAATGAAATAAATGTGTATTTTTTGCAGAGAAAAGCTATTGAGAATGGAAATATTACAGGTTAAGTTGATGGCATACCCAATTCTGATTTTTAAATATCATTTTTCCTTTGAAATAACATTGCAAACAAGTGTTAAATGGAAGCTCATTTTCCATTATTTCCTATAGTAAATGGTGCTCAGACAAAAGAAGATGTTATTCTTAAAGACAATGATATCATTAGCCATAAAGTTCATAGGTAATCATGCAAATTCAAAATTATTATCATTATTCATTTCTTTAGAAATCAATTTTTTTCACAGTCAATGAACACGAAAATATTCGCATAGCGGGACTCTAAATCTTCGTGCTGGCTACGCTACTGTATGATTATGGATGTGTTTTATGTTGATGATAGCCTGCAAGCCTCCCTCTATTTTCTTTGCAATTTTCTTTCTTAAGCTTTCCCACTTCAAGAAAGGAAAATATACAAAGGAAAATAGAAAGATGTCTTGCATTGTTATAAATTGTGTTTTAGACATGAACCTCCTGTAACAGCAGAACCTATCCAGATTATCTCTGAAACAGAAGATGTTGTTGTAGTTAATAAGCCTCCATCAATACCTGTAAGATTTTGTCTCTTTGATTTAAGTTAGACTAAAAAGAGTTTTTAGTTACAAGTTGATCTATTGAGTATATAACTGTGTACTGTATAACAGTAGTGGAATGGGCCAATTTGATGGTTACTGTCTTTCAGATTCATCCTTGTGGGCGATACAGACACAACACGCTGGTTTTCCTGCTCGGTAGAGAGTTTGGTTTGACTAATTTATATAGTAAGTATGGCATGCAATCTGTGTCTGGTCTGTGTAGGTAGTGGCAAGAATAAGAAAGCTTCGGATTGATAGAGATGCAACTACCTGAAGGCCAACACTTCAACGTTTCGAGTGTTGGCCTTTCGTTGGGAAGTTAGTAAGTAGTCAAACTAGCTAGCTTTCAGTACAGCATACATCATGTCGGGTGAGGGGGTCCAGCACTACAGATGGTGCATGACCATCTTCAGGTCACCAGCACAACAGATAGCACATGACCATCGATGGTGCATGACCATCTTCAGATCACCAGCACAACAGATGGTGCATCACCATCTTCAGGAATGTTTTCCAGAAAATTGACCTACATCTCCTCTACATTTCAGCCATTCACAGAATCGACAGGTTAACTTCAGGAATTGTCATGTTTGCCAAGTAAGCAACCATTTCTTATTCACTTGAAGCTTTATATATAGTTACTTAAAAATCATAAAACAACGATCTTTTTGCATCTCTGTAAGGTCCTTAAAAAAAGCCCAAGAGCTGGAAAAACAACTACGAGGACATGAACTACAAAAAGAATACGTTTGCAGAGTGCAAGGAGAGTTTCCAAGGTTTGTAGTATATGCTTTATGGTCGTTTCGTCCCCTTGCCGTTTCGCGCCCCCAAACGGACGTCACCTGAAAATTGGGTATAACTAATTTATGCGGCATTTTGCATCATAGCGCTCGTCTAAGGAAGCAAAAAACTTTAAAAATCTTAGGTTTTGTCCTATATGTTGAAGATTACCACAAACTGACAAAAACACAGTTTTTAATCCAGTCCCCCTCGACGAACTGACGTCGAGTTGACAAAAACATTGCGATCTTAAGCTCACTAATGGCAGTCATTGGTCTAGTTTTCCTCAGGCTCAGACTCGGCTCCAATTAAAATAAAGTCAAGTCAAGTGTCGTTATAATAGTCACTGACAACAGCAATATTAATATTGTGAAATAAAAGCCAAATATATTTAAGTTACATTTCAAAGTTTCGCAATTTAAAAACAAAAATGTGTATTATCCAGGCATACAATCCACTGAGATACAATCTCAAAAAGTAAGATATATTGTATTAAGGAAGTAGGTTATAGATAAAACAGTATCTAGTCTGGGGATGAAACGTGAAAGAGACGAAACGTGAAGGGGGACGAAACGATCGGGAACGAAACGGCAAGGGGACGAAACGACCAGTTACCGTAGTGTACTAGAAGTTACTATCGCAAGGAAAGTGCTGCCTCATCCCAAGGGATCAAAGAATATACTCCTAAAATGCGTCAAACGCCGAGCGATCACAGCAACTAAACACAGCTAACGACGATTAAACATACAATTGTCATTTTTAGCGAAGAGATTGACTGCAATGAGCCTATTGCAGTTGTTTCACATAAAGTTGGTGTATGTCGTGTGCACAAGGATGGCAAATTATGTAGAACTGTGTTTACACGGGAATCTTTCGATGGAACAAGCAGCATTGTTAAATGTAAGCATGCTTTCTGATATTAGTCATGATTCTTAGTAATCTGTTTCTAGTAAGTAGTAAGTGGCAATGAAAAATTCTCAGGATATAGCTCCGTCCTCCCTAAAAGTTCATTAGCATAACTACAGCATAAACTACTGAAAAGTTTGCCTGACCACGGTGGGAATCGAGCCCGCGACCTTTGGGATACTAGTCCACAAACATCATGTTCACCTGAGTACATCAGCCTAGGCCCTAGGCCTCTTAGTACGCCTATTTCGCGTTTCTGCATATTAATGAGGTGACGGCTCTTTCGCTCGTTCACGTCACGGAAATCAAAAGCGTGCACAGAGGATTTGGGACTAGTCTGTGAGTACATAACACCAACACACACAAAAAGTAGGATAAAATAAATTAAACTAACTTTCTATTTAGAAATTCAGTACGTGTACTACAGGAGGAAACCTGAACTAACTGTAGTCTTTATATATACTGGATAGCTCTGTCATTTCCGAACTGTTCTCCCTATCATTTCCTATTCCTAAGAATTTTCCTATTCCTAACTGTTCTCCCTATCATTTCCTATTCCTAAGAATTTTCCTATTCCTAACTGTTCTCCCTATCATTTCCTATTCCTAAGAATTTTCCTATTCCAAACTGTTCTCCCTATCATTTCCAAACTGTTCTCCCTATCATTTCCTATTCCTAAGAATTTTCCTATTCCTAACTGTTCTCCCTATCATTTCCAAACTGTTCTCCCTATCATTTCCTATTCCTAAGAATTTTCCTATTCCAAACTGTTCTCCCTATCATTCCCAAACTGTTCTCCCTAGAAACTCGTGCATTTTCTCCTGGTGCTCCGGTTTCCTCATATAGTTTTCTCATAAGAAAGTAATGTCACAATTGTTGTAAAGTTAAAATAGTCTAGACTAGTATTTAATTAGGTAAGCGTAATACTTGATGTAAAGGCTATATTAATCACTCAAGATGTTATATCCTCACGTATTTGTGGTGTTTTTCTCGCAGGCCAGCCGTACACAGGTCGCATGCATCAAATACGTGTTCACCTCCAGTGGCTTGGTTATCCTATCGTAGATGACCCGATCTATAATCACGACTCCTGGGGACTGGACAGAGGCAAGGGGGGTGTGGACGAAGATAAAGCTTGGAAAGTATGTGAGAAAATAAGATTTTTTCATTATCTACAGTGGCGGACACTTCGCAAAATATCGGGGGGGGGGGGGTTTAGGTTGCCAATACATGCCTACCTGCTGTAAATCTTAAGCTGGAATTACACGAGCAACAAAATTGCTGCAACTTGTAACAAAATCTGATTTCAACGCATTTTAATGGAAAATGTTTACACATAAATTACAAAGCACAAGGCAACATGTGTCGACATTTCTACTTAACATGCGTTGAAATCATATTTTGTCGTGTAACTCCACCTTTAATCTATAGCCTGATAATATTCAGCTCGGAATTTGAGCTGAAAAATGCATGGAGTTTAAGCTGGAAATGGAACTTGAGTGGGAAATACAATTTGGGCTGGGAATCTAGAGGCTATAGATTAACCTATATGTAATATGTTGATGGTTACATGGTCCTGTGACATCATCCTATAACAATAATCTACACTGTGATTATTCAGGTAATTGAATCAATAGCAACCTCATTGCGTAAGAATGATGCTGGCCTCCATTCTCAATCGAATTCACAAAGGAGTCCGACATCAAGTAAGGGAAAAACAACAGAAACAACTTTGTCATCACTGGACTGTGGTACGAAATTGAGAAAATCTGAAAGTTTAGAAAACGAAACAAATACTTGTGATGAATTAAAGTTGGTGACGATGTCTGAACTATCAAGCATTGAAACAAGGCAAGAGAAGGGGGTTGTCATACAGACGGATATGAAGGATGATGAGTTGAAGACGGCTTCATACAAGGGAAGAACTACGACATCAGTAGGAAACTGTGATACTTGTGATGAATTAAAGTTGGTGACGATGTCTGAACTATCAAGCATTGAAACAAGGCAAGAGAAGGGGGTTGTCATACAGACGGATATGAAGGATGATGAGTTGAAGACGGCTTCATACAAGGGAAGAACTACGACATCAGTAGGAAACTGTGATACTTGTGATGAATTAAAGTTGGTGACGATGTCTGAACTATCAAGCAGTGAAACAAGGCAAGAGAAGGGGGTTGTCATACAGACGGATATGAAGGGTGATGAGTTGAAGACGGCTTCATACAAGGGAAGAACTACGACATCAGTTGAAAACTGTGATACTTGTGATGAAAAGGTTTCCGCTGTGAAAAAAGAGGAGGGAACGAACACAGAGAACGAGGTAAAAGATAAAACGAATATTGAGAATAGTTGTCGCGGCATGAGTTGTGGAAATGAAGATGTTGTTGATGAAATACATCCATCTGGTGAAAAGAAAGTTCCAGGTTGTACAGAATGTCGCATACATCGCCGTGACCCAACTCCAGCGGAGCTAACTATGTGTCTTCATGCGGCAGTTTATAAGGTAAGGTTTTGAACTACACACGTAAAAACACACAAGTTGTAACACACTTGTAGTAATGTTGCTCCAACAACTTGTCATCAGGATGTGTTCGCACTGATTGTTCCCAGCTTGTTGACAAATTGTCAATGGTTTGTTGGGTTCAAGGTTGTCGAGCTCAACAAACTTGTTACAAGTTGTTCCAACAACTCGTTATCGTCCTGCAATTCATCAATTTGTCAACAAGTTGTGAGGGACAACCTTGTAACAACTGTTAAAATAACAGCATTGTTACAGCTTGTCGACAACCTTGCTACAAGCCTGTTGCGAACACATCTTGTTGATAAGTTGTGAAAATTTTACGTGTGTATCTGAAAAAGATTAAGAACACCTTGACATATCTTATCCCCTTGTATCGTAATGTCTTGTTTAGGTAGTTCAGACACAAACACGGTGATTTTTTCATATTGTTTTAATCTTTATCAGGGTCCTGACTGGGAATTCAGATGTCCTTGGCCTGCTTGGGCTTTATCAAATATGGATTCACAAACTACAGATTGAGAGAACGTTTTATCAAATATAAAGCAAGCGTTGTTGTGTCACTCACCAAACTTGAGGTAACTTCAAGCCTGGTTTACACTATCAAAGTTTCTGTGATCACAGGAGGAATTTTGCATGGGTGAATTCTAAGTTTTAAAGAATTTGTAAGAAATGTTTGAGGAAACTTACTCAGTGTTTAACACTAAGTCAGTTTCCTCAAATATTTCTTACAAATCCTTCAAAACTTAGAATTTACCCATGCAGAATTCCTACTGTGATCACAGAAACTTTGATAGTGTAAATTATCATGTAATCTGCGAAACCAGACGTCATTTCCCGCGCTCATTCTTTGCTTGGAAAGTGCTAATTACCATGCAGCCTTACGACAATTTTTACATGTTGTAAATTTTTAAATCATAGAGTATTTCAAGAATGCGCTATTGTTCTTGACGCAAAGTTTACACACTCAGCCCTCCTTCTACAAAGATACGAAGAAATTGAAGCCTTTGGGCTGGGAAAACATTGGGAAACAATTTTGCTTTCTTGGAAGTAAATTTATTTTCCACCACCGTAGTTGGTAAAGAGGGAAACATTCAAGAGAAGTTGGCCCAGGGGCCGGTTGTTCAAAGTACGACTAGCGCTAATCCTGGGTTAAAATTTAACTTTTGTTTATGTGTTTCTGCATGCCTGTTTATTTCAAGGAAATTGAACTTCTGATGTCCAGACAAGATTTCTGAAAACATTTTCCAAGTTTATAAACAAGCTTTGAATTTCAGGTTAACCCAGGGTTTATAAGCTAACAGGCTTTGAACAACTGGACCATGATTCATCATAGATCAGTTGTTGGTTTTGTCTTAAATTTCTTGGATGATCGTTCAGCTGACCGTATTCTGAGCTGGTTACCATACAGTGTACATAAATATCCTTCAATATCCACAGTGAACACACTGTTTGCCTTGGGGACCGCTAGGAAAATAAAAAATAGGTACATAAGCGTACATGTATCTGCGCAAAGGAACTTTTTAGGTTGGTGTAAAAAACTGAATTCATTTAGCATCAACTATGTAACAATGCATGACTACTCAAATGAAATGTAAAATGAACGTGTTGGAAATAAACTGTAGATCTAGATATTAACATTCGTTAAAAGCTGGAAGTGTGTGGACATTTCTGGTGAAATGAACACACGTTTTGGTCACTTGAGCAAGTGTGAAAGTTGGTATGTTTTATAGAGTGAGATATAATATAAAATAATAATGAGATTTGTGAAGTGAGATTTGTGGATTGTCATAGACACTTTTGGAGGCAATTTACGACAAACTGTATAAAATGTTAATTGATATCCATACTTTTAATTTCATCCTGCTTGGTGATAATTTTAAACACATTCTTGGTTTCTTGCAGTAGTATTCCACTCAGGCCAACATAACCTGGGCATTTTGATTTGGAAACTAAAAATTCATGCATGACAATAAATGGAATGGTGGAAAAATGAATTTGATAACCTAATACTGTATGAATGAAATGTACCTGTTATAATAGCCCCATGGTAATCTGCCTTCACAAGCTTGGGAGACACTGATTTCAAATTTACGGGTTGACTGCAAGAAGAGTTTTACAATATGTGTCTTATAAATACTGTTTGATAGCAGTGTATGGCACTTTTGTTCAGTAACATTATACATAAATAAAATAATATCTAATACAAATATGTTATTTACCTTGAATTGAGATTGCCCAGTGTTTCATTTATGTATTGTTTCCACATTTCATGTAGAGGCAAAAACAAATCATACCTTTATGAACAAAATATCAACAAATCAATAGGGATGTCATGGACAATTATGTACATATCCTGGGAGGCGCAAACATTTCTGCAAGTACAAGGAAAAATTGATCTACCATTCAAATTCCTGACCTTTGATTCTCCTTGGATATTTTAAATATTCCTCTCTTTCTTCGTTCACGAGCGTTCATGGTTTTGATTCTTTTTCGTTTCTTTTTCCTCTCCGCCATGTTAATTGCATCCAACATGACTCCTTTTTGTTTCACAGTTGTCATAACCTGGTCTTTATTCATGTTTTCTGGCAACTGTTTGTTGATGAATGTTTGAACATACTTGTTTGCAGGACATTCCAACTCCTACGTTGACACAATATTATTTCACATCACACATATTTTTGCTTCATAATTCAATACATATGGGGAGTAAAAATTTTACAGTTTATGTTCAGTTCAGGGCCGTACACAGAAAGGGGCAGCAGGGGCAACTAAAATTTTAGAATTTTATTATTACTTATTATTTGGGCAATTATTCTAGCATATAGGTCTTTGCCCCCTGGTGAAAAATCCTGTGTATGGCTCTGGTACGACTTTCTATATTTGCTTTTTGCATGCCAGGGAGAGAGGGGGGCATACAATTTTTGCATTTACATACTAAGTGGATGCCCCCCCCCCCCGAAAAAAGTAAATGAATGTAAATTGGACAGAAATTACATTCAAAACTCAATGTTTTATTGGTACATAAAGTCTATTGTCTCTATCAGGAATAATGTGAAGTCGCAACAATGCCTCAAACACATTCCAAGTTATTGCCCAAACAGGTTAACATATTCTTGTGGAGTTGTGGGAGGTGCATAATTTGTAAGTCACAAAATTATTTTAATTTAAAAAACTGAAGTATTATTACCTGTAAATCAAGCCTTACTAGGTTATGTTGGATGTGAGATGGCAGAGGTTCGTACAATGAACCTAAAAACATAAAATATAAACAGTCACATTGGTATATTTTATTATTTTTATATACTATATATATTCACACAAACAGATACTGTAAACTATTTGACAGTATCACCTAGAAACAAGTTCTATCTTTGTCAAAACAGTTTATGAACAATTTCAAGCCTTAACTTACTCATATTATCAGCTGAAGAAGATCAACAATCAGTTACCATTTTTGTAAACAAGATTTCCGACGTAAACAAAAACATCAAACAAATAGAAATTTTGAACACGTGTATAAATGAGCCTGCGTGTGAAACCGCTGGACTACCTTAAATTCCATTAAAGTGGCTCGCTGTGAATAACTGCAGTTCGTCACTGCTTTCGTGTCAATAGCCAATCTCGTTCCCAGAGTATGCCTGTTCGCGGGTTAGGTCATGCCACAACCTAACCCGCGAACAGGCATACTCTGGGAACGAGATTGGTCAATAGCTATCGTTTCAAGTCTTTCAATAGTATCAAAATTATCAGAGTGAGAAAATATTGTTATTCTATCATCTATATTATAGTCTTCTAAATCGAATTAGCATAATTGATTTTTTTTTAAACTGCGCTGATCGACCAATTAATAATAATCCATCGTGACTCACAAGTCACAAATAGCATAGACTCACAAATGAAAGAATTAATGAAAGGGCCTAACGAAAGTGGTAGAGAAGACTCTAAAGCCCCGTTTACACTACGCTCAATTTTTGCGGGTACGGCACGGATAAAATTGTACCCGTACCACTTTTTTGGTTCTTGGACTACCTATTTAGCTAAGCCCCGTTTACACTACGCTCAATTTTTGGTACCGTACCACTTTTTGGTTCTTGGACTATTTAGGTAGTCCAAGAACCAAAAAAGTGGTACGGGTACCAATTTTATCCGTGCCGTACCAAAAATTGAGCGTAGTGTAAACGGGGCTTAACATTTCCGACGATCTATAGACTTCAAATTCCAAAATTTAATTTCCCGCTCAGCGCCAACCATGGTAGCCTTGGTGTAACTGGCAACCCCCCCCCACCACCTTCGTGCAACTGGCATCCCCACCACCACCAGGTTTATCAAGCTTCCAAAGTGCCTGCTTTGGGGAACATTTTGCATAAAACAGTGGACTTTAAACTTTCATTTTAATGCAGATAAATGATAAAAATATCTGGTCATTGTCACATGTGGCTTGTCATTTTTAGAGAACAATGTTGTTGACCAGCCCACAATGCATCTTGACGTCATATATTTTGTTTAAAACAAACCATCACGCCCGCCCACCGCCCTCAATATTGATTTACTTTGTTGTTTTGAATGCCCCTTTCCTTGGTTTATTGTGTCTATAAATGGCTACGTTGTGTTAAGAAGGTTAAGTAATGGCAGACAGTTTAGGTTTTTATATGCCTTGATAGTATATGAGAGCCGGTCTTATGTGATTTTGCTGAAGAATAATATTTACTATTTACTATAACATACAAGAAGCTGTATTTGGTTTTGTCAATAGTTTTATGGCATTTGACCAAAAATGTTGTTTGTTGGTATTCGTGTTGATACAAACAGCTTTGGTAGATTCTTTTGCCCAGATATAATCTTGAACTGTCGTTGTCGGTGTGGGTATAGTGTCAATCAAATGAATGAACTTTCGTTGGTTGGGATGCAACTACCCGAAAAAATAAGGATATATTTACTACCTGAAAATTTTTTTCTGTGTTGGTGTTGTGTACTCCGGTGATTATGATGTTTGTGATGTTACTCTGAGTGTATATGAGGGTCTGAATGGGGTTAACTGACTACTGACATTTGCCTGAATTTTTGACTGACAACTGACAAAATATCCTAACTGACAACTGAGAAATGATGAATAAATGATGAGTCAGCATTTTGCAGTAACTGACTACTGACAGCCTGCAATATATTGCACTGACAACTGACAACTGGCTTAAATCTTAGCTGACAACTGACACCCAAAGACCCCCATTACGACCCTCGTATATCCACACCGGGCGAGCTTCAAAAATATGCCCGGCCACGGTGGGAACTTACCCGACCTGACCACGTAGCTGAGTAACTCAGTTGGCAGAGCATTGGGCTAGTATTCCAAAGGTCGTAGGTTCGATTCCCACCGTGGCCAGGCATATTTTTCAAGCTCGCCCGGTGTGGATATACACTCAGAGTAACATCACAAACACCTGAAAAATATAAGGATCTAGTGCAGAATCACTTGTGTATTGCAGTAATTTATTTCATTAATCTCGTAATTTATGACGCGCAGTCATTTCAATTATGCCATTTCTGGAATTGTGTGAGCTGAGCACTGAGGAGCTGACGCAGATTATACAGGATTACGCATTTCATGTTCATTGCGTCACTGACAAAAACAATTGCAAAATATTTTCCACAATTTGTCTGCAGTCGATAGAATATAATGAAGTATTGCGTTGAGTGAGTTTTCTGTTTAAATATATGTTATGTCTGGTTATAAATTCGTCGCAGATGTTGATGTTTTTAAGAAATGAAATGTAGTTTGCATAATTAGCTTGAACTCGTCTCTCACTATCGAGTATTGAGCGCCAATGATTCATGCTTGCATGTCTTGCATGTCTGACAATGTTGAGGTGTTTAAAAACGTTTATAAAAACGTAAAATGGCGAGGTTTTGTAAACATGCAAAACTTCGTTCAACACCGACTAGGATGATTTCGAACGCGTGCTGCACGATTGCCCGCATGTGTTCGCACGCGATGCACGAAATCAAACACTGTCTTGTGGGAACATTACAAAATAAAATAACAAGACACGTTTCAGACATCCTACTCTTCATGTACCCAACTTAATTGTATTAGATGCATTGTCAAAATAAATATGAGAATAGTGGCTTGTTGCCAGGGTATTACCAGATATAGTACGAAGTCAAATGATCCGTTTTCACTCCTGGCTGAAGAGACGCGCTTCCCCTTGCGTGCAAGAATCTATTTTTGTTTACATTGCGTTCCGGACATTAGAGGCGTTGACATGTTTATTTACAAAGAGTCACGCTTCATTACTAAGGAAACCGAAATTTACTCTAGCCAGAACCACATCACGTTCAGGAAATGAAAGAATTGTCGCTCAAGTTTAATAAAAACATGCGCGGATATTTTTCAATTAATTTTAGAGCTTGAGTCATCGATCTTAGACTCAACACTTGAGTTTATATTCAGCAATATATTTCCTTTGCCTCAGGGTTGCGTTATTGCACGCAGGCTCGAAAGAGCCTGGGTCTACAAGCTGACTCATACAGTCTGACATTGCAGAACTTGAATTATAGCCAGTTTGTAAACGTGTGAAAACTTTTACAAGCTTCTTTCACTGATTCTGTATGCCATTTAACACCAGTTGTAACATTAGCACCATGTTTAATGTCACTACCGTGTAGTCACAAAGTAAATCATACTTTTGAATGGTCATGCGTATAAGGTGATTTATTCTGTGTGGACAATGAGATGGTGAAACCATCACATCACAAGTTAATCCGCATAAAAGTGCGCACTAGAATATTTTTAACTTCTAAAACTTTAATCGGTTTTGGAATTTTAATTTCCGGAAATCTCATAATCCTCGAGGAAAAAAACGGGCTTCTCAATATCCGAGTTTTGTTATTGTGAAGTTGTGATATGAATGATTTATAGTCGATAATATTAAAGTGTGAGTTCAGTGAATTGTGTATATCGACACATGATGCTCAACTTGAGATTGACACTTAAAGACAGGCAATTTTCCTTGACAATTTTTATCTGCTCGTGTGTGCGGCGAAAAATTGACAATTTTTCTTGCCAAGGAACCTTCTTTCAAAGTCATGCCAGATTTTAGACAAGGAAAATTTGTTCGTGTGTGCGGTCGTCAAGGTTGACAAGTGTACAAAAAATACTGCTATGGTTTTGGAAAAAAAACAGCCTTGACGTAGGATAAATGTTTAACAACATTCCGCGCACACAAGCAACGAACTTGTCAGGAAAACTTATCGACCGTACACAAGAGAAGGTCAACTTTTCGAGCAAAACTTCCTCGAGTTGACTACCATGTTCTTCATTTTCCTACCTATTCTAAAATCACCATTCAGTCTTATATTGCTGCAGTCTCATAATTAAAGAGTATCCCGTGATTAAAATGGTATATTGTACAAAGTTATAGAGTATTGTCTCACTTCGTTTCATTGTCAAGTGTTCTCTTTTGTCTCAGTTCAATGACGGAAGGAAAGTTTAAATATATTGGGCGTAAGAACTTTAGTTTACTTTGGCACAAGAACAACTTATTAATCGTTAATCGCCAGATCGCCTCAGAAAATTTTCTTGTTTCATAAATTGTAATATGAAACCTTTCTATGACTGTTGGCAACTCCATAACGTGAGATGTTGTGGTTTTTTGAGCGTTGTACAGTATTGTCTTTCGATCGTTCAGGGTTTTTTATTTCAACCGAGCATGGTCCCCCGTGCGTCATTTTACTTGTTTTTTGGACAATAATTTATGCTAATTATGCGGGCTTGATAATGCGTTGACAGCTTTCATATATGACCCTCTATGATGTATTGATCAGAAGAAATAATACCCTGGCGGGTGTTTAATATCTCGCTTTAGTATTCGGGTCTGTAGCACGGTTTACTTTGATCAGACAACATCATCACGTCTGAACCATCACACAACATTGTTGGCAACTTATTCAGTACACAGGAATCGAAAACAGCGTTTTATTGCTAACAGGATTCTTGGTATTTCTGGTTTTCACGCAACAGAATTGTCTACGCTTTCCTACGGTTGTCTAGTCAGAGCGCAGTGGTTTATCGCTATAATAATACAAGAGTTCAGTACCAGTACACGACGCAGATACGAGATTTCATGTATCTTTGCTGTCACTATTCAATACTGTGTTTTACGAGAACTGTTAGTTAAACAAGACTTGGCTCATAAAGAAACAGAATGTGGGGTATTAAATTCTTGTGATTTGGTTGTACGCTCGCACCTGACAGGCAAAGGCTGTGAAGTGCTTAGCTATGATGATTGGTATTGCAAGTATGTTAGGACAGAGATGAAATTGTCAACTGGCTTCGTGAACTGTTCGTCAATTTATGGATCATTTCATCAGTTTTGCGTCTCGCTACAGTTATTAACAGGAGATTTTAAAGCTTTTTAAAAAACCGCACATTGAAAGCTCAAGTTTTGAGATTTGAGTGTCCAATAACCTGTGGTTTTAATAATGGCAACGACACTAAAACCGCGTTCACGCGTGATTTCAATTCGTGACACGTATTCCCCACGCGTGAGTCGCAGGAATGGTCTGTCCTCGCACAGCGCATGCTCGCTCGGTAGCGGCCAGAAATTATATAGCCGGCGGACGTCAAATAGTGCTCCCGAGGAAGACAGAAATGAAATGGCGTTCACCTGTAAAGTACAATATCTTGATGATACAGATCCTTTTGCAAGCACAAATTTTCCCGAGCCAACCAGACCTCCTTCATGGACTTTATTACTGAATATTCCACTCTGTGAACAAATTACTTTCTTATACAAGCTTCTGAAACCTCCGCACAATGTAAGTGAAGGCATTCGCCGCTGCTATTGTTTATGTTTCAATTTTGGACATTTGTGCGCTTCTTGGCGACCCAATAACGGATTTTTCTTGTCCATTCTAGTTGGAAGATATTGCTTTACAGATCTTACAAAATGGCACATATTTGGATCTGGAAAGTACTTTGGAAGAACAAGCAGACGTTTTAGACGGCTTTCCAGATAGGTACCCTGATTTCACTCATCTTTACAGGGCATTATTTTGACACTAGGTCTGGGGCTGTCATATCGAATTCTGTTCGCTACTATTCTCATTACATTAGCTAAGAATTCTAATTTCTTTTTATTTTAGTCGAAAATCTACAATACTTCTTAGAACGCAGCTATCTGTTCGGGTTCACAACTGTATAGGTATGTCGATTGCTCATTTGATTTTTACACCCCACCAGACAGGGTATATTGAGAGATTACTGATGTAATCCCATACCTTGTTTGCGAACTTTTTCTGTGTATTCTAAACAACATTCTAATTTAATGTCAACCCGCGTTCGAATTCGGCATGATTTGAAACGTTTGCGTGCTGGATCCTAAATATGTTGTCGTCAGCAGATGAACACTTGTTAATTCACTCTTGCTGAAAGACGCGTGAATTTATGAAAACACAGGGAAAGTTTAGGAAAGATATTAATTTTGATATATATGTGATTTATATTTGTGTGTGAAACTTAGTATAGAATAAAGAATAATGTGTTCTAGAACATATTCTCAATGGTCTATTGGGAAGCAATATGCCATTAGAACTTCTGTTTTTCGAATATAAATTGTCGGGAAATTTATGAACGATATTTCCCCAGGCAATGGATATTCAATGTCTAACTTGATCTTGAGCAATATAGATCTAAAGTCATTTGCTAATATTATTGTTTAGTTTTCTACAGTCTCGGGCAAACTAGACAGTATTGTTTGCATTCCATTGCCATGGGACATATGTAAACCTTTTTGTTCGAACGCACGCATATTCGATTAGAATTATGAAATTGTTCTGATTGCCTTTTAAAAAACGAAATTTTCGCGAAATTTTATTACATTTCAGGTAGATTTTTGGGTTAATATTCACACGGAGCCGTTGGCATTTCTGACCTTCGGCCTTTCTAAATAGCGGACATTTTGTCGAAGAGTCATCGTGCAAAGAACGACCACTTCATCGATATTTATCAAAGCTCGAAAGTTAATTAGTCTCAATTAGAATACTTTGATTTATAAATAGTTTAAAGTTCGGAAATATCAGTCAATAACCTGTCTGTTTTGCTGTTTTCAGATACTCGGATTTATAAACATTAATATCTACAGTTGTTAGTTGGATTTTGTTTAGATTGTAGAGGTTAACTAGAGGGAAATTAACAGTCTATATATTCTTGCCAGCTGTCTATCATCTATTTACATGTAAATTGCGTTTACTGGGAATTAAGGAGTTGATGATTTGTTGTTTAGTGTTTGCCGCTTATATACATGTCGTTTTGCCAAACTCTTATCACTCGATTAAATTAATAACTTTAATTTGTTTACACATAAAATCTCGAAGCCCTTCGCAGTATTTGGTTAAATCATTAAATTCCATCAGTCAAATGTCTGTCCCAAAGTTTCCCACAATAGTCTGACATGCTTGAGATTCCTTGACGTAAAAAGTACCGCATAGATTTTGTTCAGATTAAATCGTATTGAAATTATAATTGTCCATGGTTGGGGGTATACTTTTCAGCCAGCCATAATGTATACAAAAGCTTGAATAGGGGAAGTAAGTTAAATTGAATGTTAAGTTTCCTGGCAGGAAATGTATAAGTTGAAAATTACGTCAATTCAAATATCTACTTGGGTATTAGCGGGGGTTTTTCTCGAAAATTGTGTAGGCATAAGAATATTATGGTTGAACATATATATTAGAATTAGGCATAAAAAAATGTCATGGTTGAACATATATGGTTATCAGTATAGTGAGATTAAGTCAAGTTTTTCAATGGGAGGAGTGGTGTCATTACATGCCCACTTTCTATTCAATGGTTATGTTGCTGTGGCAATGTTAACCTTATGTGGGCATAAACAGCATGTACAACCTATATGCATTAGAATCTAGCTTACTATTCAATAACCCTTTGACCTAAATTGAGTTGGGCACTCCCTGCTTAATGAGGAAAATTGTCTGGCATTAGACAGAATGAAATAATAAAAAGGGCTCATTGTCACTTAAAGGGTTAATTTTTTCTTAGTCTTTTGCAGATGATTTTACTCTCCATTAAGGTACCCCTAGAAATTGAGAGACCCTAGAAATGGATATATTTATTTATTTATTTAGCTTCGCCTTGACAAAAAATGTACACAATACAAGTACAACAATTCATATACATGAGACATAACAAGAGGCGGGGACACCACAACAGATTACACCAATTATTGTGGGTTTACAGACGAAAAAAATCAACTAATTAGTCTAGTAGCAAAAGGATCGGCATCGATTACATTACGCGATGTGTTGCACTTCAGGCAAACAGTTAATTTCCATGTTCGAGCATCATCCATGTCGTATCAAAATAAAGGGCTAAAATATAAAGGGCTAATGAGCTGCAAAAAAAAAGGGTTAATGAGCTACCTGCATGTTTTTAGCTTCTATGAGTCCATGTAACATGCAAATTTAGACTTATTTATTTTACTCTGTCTAATGTCAGATGATTTTAGTTACCGGTGGCCAGCCTGCCTAGAATTGGGTACATGAAGACCTGAAAAGCTTAAATTTAATTTTAGAATGATGATTATTGTACTTCTTTCTAGCAAAATTGTTGAGCGCTTCTGGTCGAGAATTGAGAAGAGCTTTGTTCTCACTCAAACAAGTCTTCCAAGTATGTCATTGTGTTTATGTCTCCAAATTATACTGTATATTTTAAACCTTTTGAATTCGTTTTGCTCAGACAAACAGCCAAATATTTTTTTGGCAATTCTTTTTTCTTTTCTTGAACCTCAGACCTCCATATTACTTGCATGATGTTCTTCCAGCTGAGCTAATGATAATTAAGTCATTGACAAACATCAGGGATCTTTCCTGATGTCGGGCGTCATGTACAAACAAAACAAATGGATTACTAATCAGCAATTAATAATTAAATAAGGATTTAATCATGACAACCTAATAATTAAACAAGGATTTGAATAATGACATTGAGATAATTACATGACACAAGTGCAATAAAATAATTATTTTTTCATAGGATGACAAAGACTTGGTTCATGAATTTGTCAATTCTGATGGTTTGAATGCTTTGATTACGGTTGGGACAGATGCAGATCAGAATTACCAGAATTACATATTAAGAGGTAATAGAAAATAGAAAATTGTATTTTCTATGAAACAGGAGAGTGGTAAATAATGCTTCTGGTTAATTTTACTCTGGAGAGTGATGATTGAGTGATACTATGAAAGATAATCATAACATGGCCATTGATTTCCAACCATCTCACAGTGGTAAACACATTAAGCCAATTACTAAAATTAATGAATGAACAAGATTATTGAATTTTTATCTGGTTTCAGCCATTGGTCAAGTGATGCTGTATGTAGATGGCATGAATGGTGTGATTAATCACAGTGAAACTGTACAATGGCTTTATTCTCTGACTGCATCCAAGGTTTGTTTAGTAATGACTATTTATCTTCCACATGGGTAGATTCAGGGATGATTAACTCAGAAGATATCCCCTTGAGAGATTCAGCCCTTGATAATATTTTTTTGTTGAATCTCATTATAGTACCGATTGGTAACAAAAACAGCATTGAAACTGTTACTGGTGTTTGTTGAATACACAGAATCAAATTCTCTTGTATTGACGCGAGCTGTAAATGAATGGAATAACTTGCAAAGTTAGTGGAACCTATCTTTCTGTGAATCAGGTTCATTGTAGGCTTTCAGGAGAGCTGACCTTGGTCAACTTTACAAGCAAAAAAAATAAAGTACATCTCTCAATTCTATTTATCTCTCAATTCTATTTATCTCTCAACAATAGACCTTTCCCCTTTTGAGTGAAATTTTGATCTAGACAAGTTTGGAATCTTAAATGTATATCTCACTTGGATTACAAACCTTAACATCCTAATATTAATTCCACCAAGTGAAGTGCAGAATCTAAGTCATTCAAGTCCACCTTAATGAAAGCTACCTACATAAAAACTCACTGAAATTTTTTTCTCTTACATTCACTACTTCAGGGTCAAAACCTTGGAGTTGTCTTATCAAAGTTTTGTCAGATAAGGATGGTGATGAAGAAGTCACTTGTTTTTGTTTGACTCTAATAAATAAAGTAAGAATTTCACTTTTAATACATCCCCTCATCAACTGTGCAGAGAATGCCAGAGATCCATGTTGTAATGTCTTTTTTCTTTACCAGATTTTAAATGCTGCACCAGATCAAGATTTATTTTACGACATCTCTGACTCTCTTGAAGAGCAAGGAATAGAACAGTTGCTGAAAGTAATTCTAAAGAAACTTCAATTTGGTTTCTTTCATGCCAGCTTACTACTATTCATTATGTTTCATTTTCCATCCTCAATTTCACTTTTCAGCTGAATAAAACTTGTTTCATTTGTTTCAGAATCTTATCACTGCGAAGAGAAGCCATCGAGAAATCCAAGAACAGATCAAAGTATATGAGGTAACATTGCTAGATCTTTATTATAATTAGAATAGAATTAGAATATATTAGAATATTTGTATAACTTCCTAACTGTTTCATTCAGACTGCTTTAAAGATTGAAGATGGAGATGAACAACTGTCCTCCGTCAAAGACACCTCCAGTATAAGGTAGTGTTTGAGTTGATATGGATTTTTATAAAAAGAAGTTTGTTTTATACTTTGTATAATTTCGTGTTTTAGACACAGGAAACGACAGCCTGGGGCACAAAGTAATGGAAATGGTAAGAGTTTATTAAGTACTGTTTAAAGCACGCTACAAGTGCTTTAAATGACTTCAAAAACGACTCATCTTATACGAGTTCATTGGCGAAGTAATTTTTAAAATAAACTTTGTCTAAACCGAGAAAATCAAAGCTAAAGTTTATGTAAATTAACATGATTTTTTATCACATATAAAACCACGACACGCTTATGATTTTTCTTTGTGTTTTCCTCCTGAATTATTAATGAGTTTTTGAACGTGATTTAAAACACGCATGTTATGAAACGAGGCACTAGGCGAGTTTCTAACGTACTTTGAGATGTTTTCAAATCACTATAGCGAACAACTTTAATTGAGTGTATGATAGAACTTCTCGGTATTCTTGAGTTTCAATCACGTGATATTTTAGCATAATTTGACTCAAGTCAATCGAACTGGGGTGAACTAAAACAACAAAGAGACAAAATGGCTGTCAACGCATCTTATGCAAATGTTTCTCCAACTACCATAAAAGCCAATGTAAACAATTCAAAAGCCGTCCTTTACCTTTGACATAGACCCTTGACCCTTGTGTGACGTCATATGAAACCCGAGAATTTAAAGAGAACAACGCGAATGTTGACTCAATTTATGGACGTTTATTATCATGGTGCTGCTCATTTCTTGTCTGTCGTGTTCCTGAATGCGTTTGATTATCTTTTTCATTCTCTCCAAAGGTGACAGAAGGCGAAGTAAACGTCACAATTCCCTGGGTTCTGGCTACAGACTAGAACGGCCATTAGTGCCTGACCCAGGAAACAACTCTGATTCAGAAACTCGGAACAAGCCGAGACAACGCAGAACTTATTTTGATCGCAATGAAAATCTATCTCCAAAGTCTGCTGAGAACTCGCCCGCAACACCCGCAACGCCTGATGAGGATGACGAGAAAACGAAGGCACGAATGGCACGAAGGTGCGTACTGGGATATAGTGGGATATGGATTACGGTCTAGGGTACCCCCCTAGTGTACGCCATTGGTAGGGCACTGATTAAGGCTATGTTTACATTATACCTGATAGCTTTCCGTAGTTGCGCGAAAAAGCACCTATCCGATACGGAATGTACAACTTTCAGAAGCTGAGCAAAACAACATCTCGCCGTTGCAATAATTCCTCTGAAAATAGCGTTCCTGAAAGGTACGGATAGATGCTTTTTCACGTCGCTACGAAAGCTCTCCGGTACAGTGTCAACGTAGCCTTATACTAGAAACAAATCCAAGCAAGGCTCCCAGAAAGTATTCGTAATTATTGAACGTATTTCTTGATTTTTTTGTCGTAGAGAACGACGTGCAGCGCGCAAAGCTGCGACTCAAGCTGAAGAAACATCCAGTCCTCTCATTTCCCCTTCACCATCACGAGACAACACTCCGCCACCATCACCCAAACCATTTGCCAAGAAAGAAGAACCGAAGCCTGAGAGTAACAACAATGCACCGCGCAGAAAATATGGCGTTTTAGAACCAAACAGAGGTAAGAGAAGTACACACAAACTTTTGCCCGAAAACTGTCGCATTGCTTTACAAAGTACAACTCAAGTTGTAAGCAGGTTGCATGCGACAATTTTGACAAAAGTTATGTAGTGTAAATCGACTTTTAGAGTTGCCACCAACCTACAGTATATGAACGGGCTTTGTGATTGGTTGACGATAACAATAAAAGACAATGAACTATAGAAATTTTCTTTCTAAAGAACGAGTCATAAACACTGATCACTATTGTCTTGTGAAGTCAATCACGAAACACGATCATTTTAGGTTGGTATTTACCTCAGCATTACGTAATACACCTTTCTGGAAAGTGTTCAATCTCGGCTGTAGAGCCTCGTTTTCGTGATTAAGATATTGAGTTAAGAGCCCTTTGTGTTGTTACAAGTGACATGTTTACCAAACCGTACAGTTATATCAGTGGATATGAAAGATCTGTTTATGATTATGTCATCAGTAACGGGAATTAAAGGCTTTTAAGACAATGTCTCATGCACAGAAACGAGGCTTCGATAGCCATGGCTTAGTTCAATCCAGAAGGGTGTATTGATTTGTTTTGTGGAAAGATCACATCCGCTTTTATCGAACTGTACATACAAAATCCGTATGACCGCAATGCAGTCGCCATCCAAACGTACTTGAAACTTAATGTTTCCTTTTGATGTGGTTTAGGTGTGAAAGACTTGCATACTGTTTTCGAATATCAATCTCGAGGTTAGTCTGGACATCTGCACCTGTACTGTCCAGCACTAGTTTTGCACTTCTGCGCACGGAATATATTGATTTACTGCACCTAGATATAGTTTTGTCCTGCACGGAATATATTGATTTACTGCACATAGACATTGTTTTGTCCTGCACCTAAATTTTCTACCACTTGATGATTCGTTCCGGTACTATACTGGAGCGATTCAGACTACTTTTGCTCTCAGCACAACTGCGCCACGGAATATATTGATATACTGCACTTAGACATGGTTTTGTCCTGCACCTAAATTTTCTGCCACTTGATACTTCGTTCCGGCACTATACTGGAGCGATTCAGATTTCTCTTCCACTATCTCTCACTGGCTTAGTACGCTTCTTCTGATTGGTTAATCGAATATATCAAACGCATCTGATTGGTTAATGGTCCCTTAATGATAGTGGGAATCGGATCTGAACCTCTCAGCTATATATTCTACAGCAACACTTCCTAAAAATATCTCTGAATGTGTCAACCGGGAAGTTTTGAAAATTTGTAAGAAATGTTTGAGAGAACAGACTCAGCGTTTAACATCAAGTCAGTTTGCTAAAACATTTCTTACAAATCTTCAAAACTTAGAATTTGTCAATGAAAAATTCCTACTGTGATCATGGAAATTTTGTGTGAACCAGACTTAAGGTTAACACGCAATATCTTCCGTTTCTAAACCTTCCTTTTGCTTTTCAAGTAGCGAATGGCGACGTGAAGAACAAGGCTCCGGCGGAAGAAACTGAGAAACCAGGTAGAAACTTAAGACAATGGAAAAACTGGAGGCCCAAAGGTGCGGATACTAATACAACTCAAGAAAAAGTTGAACTGAAATCACCAGCAAAACCTTCTAGTGCGACCTTATCTTTCATCAAGAACGAGAAAAACAAGGAACCTGACCCTCCGAAAGAGATCAACCCGACGAAAGAACCCGAGAATAACACGAAAGGGAGCGAACATGTTCCGGAGAAATCCGTTGAAACTCCGAGTGCTAGGGATAGATACCGCGTAAATAAAAATAATGAAGCTCCTAGTAGGAACTCTGAGACGCCCAGAAGCTCGGGATATTCGAGCAGACCGAGCGCTTTAAATAAGTTTAAAAACTTAGAGAAAGCTGTGGAGGATGAGAAAGTGACTCAGAGAGGAAACAGATTTACAAGGACTACACCAGAGAAAAAGTCGAGCAATGAACTGAAAGTCCCGGAGCCGAGTGATCTTCACTCCAGTTCAGTCAGTTCTGTTGAAAGTTTTAAGAGTACGAACTCTGTTGAAAGTTCTAAGTCGAAAAGTCCCGATGATAGTCCCGAGGAGACGCCGGAGGAGACGCGAAAGATTACGACAAAGGCACGAAGGACTTCGGAGGAAGAAGAGAAGAGGAAGGGAAATGTGTTTGACGACGATGAGGATGTTCCATTCAAACGAGAGGAAAGAAAAGAAGCAGTGAAGAAGCAAGGTAATGTGGACGACGCATTGGAACCTGGTGAACATGAAGATGATGATGATGATGACGAGGACGTTCAGGAGGAAAAGAGAGAAGATGTAAAGCCTTTGATGACCCGAGCTGAACGTAGTGCTTCTTTAAAACAAGTCCGAGATGCACGTTTAGAACGCCAGGGTTCGGCAGGACAGAAGGATTCTCCAAAGAGTCCAACTGAACCTGAACGGAGGTCTAGTAGATCAAGTGTTGATAAGAAATGGTTGTTATCTAATCTTTATCAAGGAAATAGTACTAGGAGGAGTGTTGATTATGAGGAAAGTGGAGAGAGCAAAGAGGGGAAGGATAGAGCGACTGTCAGTCAGGGGCAGAGTACTGAGTCACAAAGGACTGAGGAGAAAACTCAGGAGGAAGATCGCGGGCAGATGCAGGCTAAAGTTGATGATGTAGTGCCTACACCCGCCACCCCGCCCGCACCTGTGCCCGAGGTGAAACCCCAGGCGACCGAGGAGGAGGCCGCGAAGGAAGAAAGACTGGAACAAGCTCGACAGGAGCAATTGCGGAAACAGGAGGAACGGAAGAGACAGGAAGAAGCAAGGCTTGCGGAGGAACGGAAAAGAAAGGAAGAGGAAAGATTACGAAGAGAAGAGGAACAAGCGAGAAAACAACAAGAAATAGAATGGGAGAAATCTGTGACTTCAAAACGATCATTAGTTATCAACGGTTTAGATTTTACTGATCTTCAAGATGAGGATGATAAAGATATTATGGAGATACGTCATCATGATACAGGGGGTGCCCCGCCTCCTCCGCCTCCAATACCGGGGGGTGTACCACCTCCTCCACCACCGCCTCCAGGAGGGGTCCCACCTCCTCCACCTTTCCCGGGGGGAGCTGGCCCACCTCCTCCTCCCCCCATGCCTGGTATCCCACCCCCACCACGCTCAGCGTCAAAGTTACCATCTCAAGCGGACAAGAAGAAGTTGGTTCGATTATTTTGGAAGGAAGTGAAGAACTCGCCATTGATTAATGGAATAAATAAAACAATCTGGGGATCCATTGATCCTGTCGACATCGACACCAAGAAGCTGGAACACTTGTTTGAGACGAAACATGCGATGAAGGCAAAGGTAAGATATTTTTATAATTTTTAATGGTTGCTGTAATCGGATCAAATGTCACTTAAATGTAACCTACAATATATGTTGAGCAATAATCTTTAGCATAACCGGGTTTCACTAGGCATCAGTGGCCAAGCTAGCCATAGCAACAGCAGGGATCCAGCATGATCTGGTAGGTGGGGTGCTCTGCCAGCTCCTGGTGCCAAGTTGTGTCGGTCATGTGTGCCGCCCACCCATCAACTGGATTCACTACTGCAAAGTCTTGCTTGACTACTGTATTTGAATTGTAATTGTTGTTCACAGCTCGCTGATCATCATGTTATTACTCAAATTACTGTATCTCATTTTGCCTCTAATAATTTTTTGCTTTATCATGAAAAATAGCACCACTCCCCACCCTGCACCCCTCCCCACCAGTAAATCCATCCCTGAGCAACAGGTCATGCTATGCAAAATTTTAATGATTTGCATTATTCAAATCTTTAGAAATATAAACCTGCTACATACCATAGCATGACCAGTTGCTATGGCTAGTTTTTCCTCTGCTAGCACTATATTGTGCAGCACATGGTGGTGAAGTCGCGTTAAACTTGCTTCTTGTTTCCGAGCAGCAAAAACCTGAAGAGAAAGAAAGGAAGAAGGAAATCGTTATTTTGGACATGAAAAGATCACAACAGATCAACATTGCTTTGACCAAGTTACCTCCTGTCAACTCTCTGAAGCAAGCGATATTGGCCATGGATAATTCTGTCTTAGATAAGGAAGCATTAGAGGTACGATTTGCAAAATACCTTTCGAGGTGTCGCAGTCACAGAATGCCTGACTTCTTGGTTTTTCCTATGATTTTGGCATAACCGTAATTCGTCATCAAAATGTTGACGCCATTGTCCTAGCCAGTGCGCTTATCAGAGGCATTCACCCCCATAGAGATTATAAATAACACTAGAGGAGGCATTGTAATCTTAATTCACTAAAAAAAAAGGGAACGCGACTATTGGGGGGCAAATTCAAGTCCCGGATGTGTATTCGTGTTCCCATTGGTGACGAGTTTCAAATCAGCCAATGAGAGCACGATTTTATATCCGGGACTAGAATTTGCCCCCCATTAGCTGCGTTCCCAATTTTTAAACTCGATGCCTCCTCTAGTGTTATTTATAATCTCTATGTTCACCCCCTGATAATATTCAAAATGGCGGACTCCATGGGGGGGGGGGGGAGGATGCCCACTGGGGATGCTTCTCATAAGCGCACTAGCTAGGACCATGGCGTCAGCGTTTTGATGACGAATTATGGCGTGGCAGCGGTTACGCTTTTTTGGCTGAGTCGACCTTCTGTGTGTCTTTATTCTGTGTCGCAGTGGTCAGTGCGTATGGGTTCATTCCTGCAACATGCAGGGGGTTCGACCACCTCGCGAGCGTTCGTTGTGGGTGATGTCAATAACCATGGAGAGCAGTTTAGAACTATCAAGCATAAATAAAGTAGTTTAGTTCAGGTTAATAAAGTTAGTTTAAGACCTCATCTATTTGCTACAGAGGTTTGTATTTAGAATAAAACTTCTGCGCATTCACGACGATGTCATTTCTTCCACAGAGGTTGTTTCCCTTGCTTCCGACAGCGGACGAGAAAACTCGTATCGAAGAAGAAAGACTGGCGTATCCCGACATTCCCTTGGCGTCTGCTGAGCAGTTCTTGTTGACGATATCTTCTGTCAATGAACTTTATTCCAGACTTAAACTCTGGCAGTTCTCGCTTGAATATGAAACTATTGAAAAGGTAAAGACGATTTAAAATTGTTAGAGATTAATACATGTACAGTACAGCGACGTGATTAATGCGCTATTGATGCTTAATAACTGAGTTTTCGAATGCCAGAACTCCCTTTTCAAATGCCAGAACTCCCTTTTCAAATGCCAGAACTCCGTCGGAAAGTTAGTCGACGTTTATACTTGTATTTTTCAAGTAGTTGAATCTGGTAGTTTTGGTAGTAAACAGTATAGTCTATTGCGGCTTCTGGTGGTACAACAAAAAACTTTTCTTTCCACAGGATGTCGCAGAACCATTGATGGATTTAAAACAAGCAGTAGATGAAGTACAACGCAATCCAACATTTAAATGCATTTTAGGAACATTGTTGTCTGTTGGGAACTTTCTTAATGGAACAAAGGTATGTCGCATTAGCTACACGATAGTTCTTTGTGAAGCCTTGATGAGACTCACCAATGCTCTCCTTGTTTATCACTAACCTTGACAATAGTGCCATCCAGTCATGACCCAGTGATTGAAATTTTCCATTTCTTTATTGTTCCGACTTAATTAGCATATATTACGGCTATTTAACAGTTATTCATTGTTGGTGTTTACATAGAGTAAAGGATTTCAATTGGATTACCTGGCTAAGGTGCCTGAAGTGAAAGACACGGTTCACAAACAGTCCTTGCTCTATCATCTGTGTACGATAGTGATGGATAAATTTCCTGAGAGTACAGATTTATATAACGAACTTAGCGCCGTCCATAAAGCAACCAGGGTATGGAGACGTTATATTCTGAACTATTCTTCATGTTATTTCATCCCTTGTATCATTCTTCCAAAGTGTCATAATCAACGCCGTCACTCCTGGATTTTACTACATGCTCCTCTTCCATGTTTTCTTGCTATGGAAGGTAAAAGATGGAGTCGTCTCATCAAATATCCAAACCTCATTCTTGCTTCTGCTTTCTTGACTATACTTTCCACCCCAGCTCTTCTAACCTTCTCTTTGTAAGATGTTCTCGGAGTGATATTCCTTCTATCATAATAACTTGAATTGGTTTCCAATTTTCCAGATTGACTTTGATTCCCAGAAGGAAATGCTGAAAAAACTAGATGAAGATTGTAAAAAGTCTTGGGATTATTTAAGAGTGATTGCAAAACACGAGAGCTCCTCCAGTATAAAACCAAGGTATATGATCATGTTTCATTTCATTTCTTTCCACGTAGGCAGTTGATGTATGTGTATGCCTGATGTTACCCAATACACCCATATGTAATTCAAACACTTGTACATAGATGTCAATAGGTGTAAACGTTACATTGGTGTCAATAGGCGTAAACGTTACCTAATTAGGTCTGCATGCACCCATGCTGATCAACTTGACGGTGAAAGCAAACGAAGAGTGTTCTGTTAATGAAATGAAGAGACTTACAAACTAAATTTCATTTCGTTTTAGGATGACTGAGTTCTTGGCAGATGCTGGGGAAAGGATAACGATATTGAAAGTGGTTTGTCGTCGCGTTATTAACAGGTAGAGTTTTCTTGATAAATCTTCCTTTTAGTAAGCACTACGACACTAGCTAGCTGGCTTGTGAGTAAAGACTGGTGGTCTACATTATCAAGGTTTCTGTGATCATTGTTTGCATTGTTTGAAGGATATGTAAGAAATGTTTGAGAGAACTGACTTGTGTTTAACACTGAGTCATTTTTCTCAAACACTTCCTCAAACATTTCTTACAAATGTTTCAAAACTTAGAATTTTACCCATGCCAAATTCCTACTGTGATCACAGAAACTTTGAAACCAGCTTTAGAGGCGAGAGCAACTGCCCCTAGTATTGTTCGTCGCTCAGATACATTATGTATTTTCTTTGCAGGTTTAGAAAACTCCTCTTGTATTTAGGCCTCAATACTGGCGCCGCTAAATCAACGAAGGTCAGTATTTTTATGCTCTAGAGATTAAACTACCTGGGCTACATGAACCATATACTTACCTAGGATTTGTAAGAAATGTTTGACAGGACTGACTCGGTGTTCAATATTGGGTCAGTTTCCTCAAATATTTCTTACAAATCCTTCAAACTTAGAATTTACCTGTGCAAGATCCCTACTGTTATCACGGGAACTTTGATAGTGTAAACTTTGCTTTACAGTTCTACATCTTTTTCCCTGAATGATTAAATCACGCAAGCGTCTTTATTCCTCTGCAGATTAGTGAATTTTGCCGGATCATCAGCCAATTTTCGCTCGAGTATCGGACATGTCGAGAGAAGTGGCTCTTACAGAAAATGAAAAAGAGCAAAATGAAAGAAAGAAATAAAACTCGAGGCAAACTTATCGTTGATGTAAGTTGAACTTTTTTGATGTACTAAGCATGGTTTCTGAGAATTTAATTCCCCGTCTGACCGTCTTTATTATTCATCCATTTCTAGTCACTGTCCAAGAGTCAGAAATCAACGAGTGATGAAGATATTTCTAAGAAATCCCAAGAGATAGATCGAAAGGAGAAGCTGAAGTGTTCAACATTACCCAGTTCCAAGAATCGGGCTCGCAGCATGGCGATAGGGAAATCGGACAATGACCTTGACGACACGACGGATGAAATGATGGACATGTTGGTCAAGACTGTCACTTCGAAACAAAAGTCTCGAGTAAGACGTCGAGAACGATCTTCCATGGCCAATAGAAAATCACGTAAGAGTTTAATTAATTATTTTATACTTTTGTCTTGTAGTATTTCCTGCAGGGTTCGTTAATATTATTTACTGCAAGCAAAATTCATAACTTCAGAATATACCTATATTTTGGTCTTTAGCAGTAAATATTGTTAAAATGTCAAGACTTCAAAAGGTGTGAGCGTCTCACGCATTTTTAATGATGCCTGGTTTTCTGTTCCAGACTATTCTCCAGTAAAGGGTTGTCCCTTATTAGTTCAATGTAACTACAGGAGGAAATTCAAGTGTCTGGAGAAAACGTTTGGTAGAAACTGGAAGTGCTTTTCTTAGATGCGACTGAGGAAAAATTATCGTCAGATAAATGCATATTGCAGGAATTGGATTTCAGTGTCAGAGATGAAAGCCACCCCGCACCTAAATGTGTTGACACTGCTTGTTTCCAGTCTGTTAATAAACTATCTTCCTATCTTTCAGTACGACGCACCTTGCAACAAGGTTTGACACCTGAAGAACTAGCAGCCGCTGGAATTAAACTTCCCATTCATGACAAGTAGTGACGTCATGCTCGGAATGTGTCGTATGAAAATTTCTACCATAATTAACTTTTGCTGCTGTTTGGACCACCATGGAGTGATATTATAGGGTATAGAAGGATATCGTACAACACGAATGGGTGGATATAGGAGTATTTTAAAGGATTATGAATGAGATCGTTGACCAGATGGACTAAGGATATTATAAGAACATGGATGATATTATTTGATATCTTTGGTGGATATGATAGGATTATAATAGATAATATAGGACAAGAGTTAAAGGACAAACATTGATATCAATGGATAGTGGAGCAAATTGGTCGGCAAGATAGTTAAATTATAAATTTTGGTCTGACTGAACAAGTGTGGGCTTTACGCGACTGAAGTGTATAGGGACTGGACCTGTTCATTTTTTTACGCTGTGAAAAATGAATCTCGTGGTCCAGTGTCTTTGAGTTCAGTGTGCGGAGAAATTGTGTGTTAATTAAATGCTGTAATTAAATGCTTTTATCCCAAGAAAATGTATTAATTAATAGCGACAAACTAAACTTGTGAATTTTATATGATAATATATTCAAGGATTTTTGTTCCTGTGAAATCTGTTCGTTGCGTGATTGATAATTATACTGAAATTATTTTAAAACGATGCTTATGTGATTGTTGCTATGAGTGTATATCCACACCGGGCAAGCTTGAAAAATATGCCTGGCCACGGTGGGATTCGAACCTACGACCTTTGACGCAATTTGTGTGTCCATGCGTAAATATATCGTCGTTGATTGTCTAATCAGTCTTAATTTATCTGACGATGAGCTACCGTTGTTCTATTCTCATGTCGACATGTCGTATCTGCCATAGTACAGCATTTGCGTAATAAGAGATCAGTATGTCATTCTATGGCACGCCAAGTGTAGCAATATTCAATAAACTAATATTTTGTTTAATTCAACAAAAATTCAATGTTCAACGACAACAATTCAACATAATTATTCAACATTCAACTAACTCATTCAACATTCAACTAACTCATTCAACATTCAACTAACTCATTCAACATTCAACTAAACCATTCAACATTCAACTAAACCATTCAACATTCAACTA